TTCCGATGATGATGCTGCTGATGATGATGATGATGACGGTGACTGTGTCCCGATGATGCTGGTGATGATGATGATGATGATGTTGATGATGATGATGATGATTGTGATGATGGTGACGATGATGACGGTGGTGCCCCGATGATGATGATGACCGTGATGATGATGATTTTGGTGTTGATGATGAGGACGGTGTCCCGATTATGATGATGTTGGTGATGATGATGTTGATGTTGATGTTGTTGTTGATGATGATGATGTTGATTGTGATAGCGGTTGCGATATCGATAGTGAGATCGATAGTGGGTCCGAATGTGATATCGATTGTGAGATCGATTGTGAGATCGATTGTAAGATCGATAGTCAGATCAATTGTGAGATAGATCGAGTGATATCGATTGTGAGATCGATCGAGGGAGATCGATCGAGCGAGACCGATACTGAGATCGATAGTGAGATCGATAGTGAGACCGATCGAGTGAGACGTTGGTTCCCCCCCCCCCCCGAACCTCCTTATCACCCGAAGGGTGGTCGTATAGGTATGTATAAATGGGGCCGGTGGCCCGACTGCTGTAGTCGGCTGCCAGCTTGGCGCCGAGGTCAAAAATCGGAATCAATTCTTTGTCGACGCCCTGGTACAGACAGACGGCCAGGTGCTGGAGGCGCTCCTGATGGTGCTGCGCCTGCCCGAAGCCCCGCTCATAATCATCTCGCACTAGCTGGATCCAGTTCGCTGAAGTCACGCCTCGGGAAGGGAAGTTCGGCTCGTCGTCCTGATCATCGCCATCCTGAGGCTTCTCCTTAGGCGTGGGTGGCAGCGCATGCGGCTTGACAAGTCGGCACAGGCGCTGGCTGCGCGGCCGAGGGCCAATCTCCGTGCAGATGGGATAGTGCTGCCGATGTGGGAATCCGCCAACTCGTGATGGTGTCGGCCCGGTGGCTGCGAGAAAGTCAGAGGCAAGCCAGTAGTCCAACGTTGAGTGGCCGGCTGTGGCGGGGTCCTTGTAGGTGCCCCCCTCAGAAGCAACCGCCGCGGCCCGCAACCTCAATGGAAAGTCAGACATCTGCAAGACATCTGGTGGCATGTTCCAGTCACCTGCCATGGCAAACGGCGTGGCGTAGTAGCTGAGGCACTCGCCGATGGTGCGGAGGTAGTTCACGCTGACACCGCTCAAACGGGGCCCCTGCTGCAGGTACGTCGAGCCAACGATGAGGCCACCACGGATCCCAGACTGAATCAGCATGGCCACACTGCGCCCTGGGATAAGCTCATGCGTGGCAGTGAAGGCCTGCAACGGCACCACGTTGATATGCCTCCGAACGAAAAGCCCAACCCCACCAAGGGACTTGCCGTCATCACTGAGTTGCGCGTCGCTGATGAAGGCCTGCCAGCCTCGCTTCAGGCACCGCTCTTCAGCAAGAAGCCGATGATGGCCTTGCAGGTGGAGCTCTTGACCTGCCGCAACCTGTAGGTGACGCATCTGATCCAGGAAGTCCTGCATTTGCGGACAACCTGAGCTGTTGAATGAAGCCATCTTCAGTGCATGCTTCCGCTTGCCTGCCCGCTTCCTGGTCTGGCCGCCAGCGAGACCGTGTCCAGCAGAATCGGCAACGAAAACCCCCTGGTTAGCCGCTCGTCTACACGCCGCGTCAGGGCACTCAAGGGGCCGTCCAGCGGCCGACCCTTGAGCTGCATCAAGCGACCCTGACTTGGCACCGACGCCGAGCGACGGGGCGGCGGACCCCCGTTGACGTCTCGCATCCTGGCTCGAGCTGCAGGCCTCTCTAGCACCTGGTCGCCACTGGCGCAGGGAAGGCGAAGTCCTGCTGGCGCTCGCACCCGCAGTGCGCGGGAACGACGGCGACGAAGGCGTTCCACTGCCAGTGGCCCAGCAAGTGCGGCCTTCACCTGCAGCAGGTTGGTGGTGCGCGTGTCGGCGTCATTGGCGTCCATGTCCTGGTCGCCCTGCTCGTCGTTCATGGGAACATCCTCCTCGGCGGGTGCAGCAGCTCCAGGGGCAGAAAGCGGGGGCCCGTCTGGCGGAATGAGATCCCCGGCGACGGCAATCATCTGCAGCGCCGTCTCAAATTGCCGCGTCGCCTCGCTGACGAGGAGGTCGGCATAGGGCTGGTCCACTTGCTCGCTGGCGATGGCCAGGCGAGCGTTACGCACAAGGCGCAGACGATTCGACACCAGTTCGAACCACTTGGCGCTGTCGCGGTCGTAAATCTTCCGGTAGCGGAGGATGTGCTGGCGGATCTCTTCCCTGCTCTCAAAGGATGCGTAGAGGCACGCGTGCTCAGCAAGGACACGTAGACGAGCGGGGTCAGCAGCCCACGCGTTGAGAGCCTCATCTTCAGATAAGAGAAGCTCGGCGTAGGGAATGCACCACCACCATCCAGTCGCCCTCGCCCATGAGGTCCTCGCATGCGATCTGATGTCCTGCCCACTAGCGCGAGTAGGTGCTGAGGTGGTGTATCAAACTCCATTGATCATCGTCGGTGGTGTGATCGTCAGGGAGCGCACTGGCAGGGCTAGCGCGACTCAGCATGCTGCCCAGCCCTGCGCACCCCGACGCAGCATCGTCACCAGGCCAGGCGGCGTCGACCACCCCCTCGGCAGGGGCACCTGACCTGGTCAGCGCACACAGCGGGCTTGGGGAGCCTCGCGGACCTCGAACGCACGAGGCGGAGGTCGGCTCGTCCGTCGGCGACACCATGTGCACGGACGACCTTGCAGCGACATGTGAGGTATTGGCGTTGAGGAGCGTGTCCAGCACCTGCTGTTCGCATCGCCATCGGCTATCAAATCTGCCCAGCTGCGAGACAGGATCCGAATGAGGAATGCAGACGTTGTGCTCCCTAGCTTCAGCCAGAATTGTCAACGCAGTAGGTGCCCGTGCCCGTGACATTGCAAACGCCAGACGGTGACCCCGTGCCAGCACATCCAGTCAAAATTGCAGTTGCATGGTCCCTCGCAGCCCGAGTGTGGCGGCTATCATAGGGCGCTGTCGCGGCCCAAGCCAGCAAACGTATAGTGCCATCCTGTCGCTGGCGCGGCATGATGTCGAGCTGGTGACCATCGTGCACAGGGCAGGGTGCCGAGATGAAGCTCAGTAGCAGGCTAGCTGCCTGCCTTCGTCTCCCGACCCCTTATCCTCGCTGGGGACTTGCCGCGTCCCAAGGAGGTGGGGTGACGGGCGATGCTGCCATGGGTGTTGCTGCGCCTGTTGCACGCGAGGCCGCGGGCTGGGTCGCCGCTCCCTGGCGCTGCTGCGCAATGGTCTGGCACAGCTCCTTGCAGTGTTTGCCGAGCGACTCGGGATAGGTGCCCTCGTTCCCTGTGGAGACCGTGGACGCGCTGTTGGCGATGTGCCCCAGGCGAGCGACAGCATCATCCACGTCACGACCCCCGCTGGCGAGCGCGTCGGGTCGAGCTCCTGCTGCGGGAATCGCTGCTCGCGCCGTGGACACCTCAGAGTCTACGATGGTCAGCTCGGCTGTGGCGGCCCCGAGCTCGGCAGCCTTCGCGTCGAACTGCTCTTTGAGCTCTGCCACCTGTTCGCGAAGCTCCGTGACATCACGGCTCCGCTGGGATTGCCGATCCAAAGCCTGACGAAGGAGGTCGTCTGGTGTCTTGGTAGCCAACTCGGCCGCCTCTGCCTCCTGGAGCTCCTTGGCCGCCGCGGGGAGGGGGCTGCCGTCCTCCAGGCCCAGGCGGCGGAGCGCGCCGAGCGCCTTGCGGGCACGGGCCACCGCATCGGAGGCGGCGAGCGGGGGCTCCCCGGCAGGCTCCTCATCGCCTCCCCCGCGATCCTTGGCATGCTCCCTGGGGCGGCTGGGCTGACGGGTGCGCCGTGGAGGCGCGGGGGAGCGCGCGGGACGCCGCTCGGGCGGCTCCAGCGAGGATCGATCTGCTTCTTGTTGTCACCCTTGCGACCTCGAGTCGACATCCACGAGCTGTGGCCGTGATGGTCAGCGAGCGAGGCACGCGCCGCCTCCAGTTGTAGCAGCCGTCGAGGCAGTGACCGCCGCCGCCGAGGACGCCTGTGCCAGGCTGGGGAGGGTGTCCTCCCACGCGTCGTGCCGCAGCGCCGCGGGAGCCGCCTCCTGGGGGCGGCAGCAGCACCGCAGCCGCCAGGCCACGGAAGCGCAAGGGCCTATCGCGCGCGGCGGGCGCCTTGCTGGGGGAAGGGGGGAAGCGCGGCGAGCCAAAATGGCTTGAGCCAAAAAGGCTACAGAGGAGGCGGAGGAGGAGGAGGGGGAGGAGGAGGAGGAGGAGGAGGAGGAGGAGGAGGAGGAGGAGGAGGATTAGCAGATGAGCGTGGTATTTGCCATGGCCGGACGCTTGCACAATCTCCCGTCGCGCGAGTCTGCGGAGATGCCACGTGGAGGAGGGCGGCGGGGGGGAGCACGAAGAGTGCTGGGGGGAGAAGCGGTCCCCCATGAGAGCACACGTAGGCGTAACCCGAAGGGGGGGACAATGTGAAGGAGGAGGAGGAGGAGGAGGAGGAGGAGGAGGAGGAGGAGGAGGAGGGGGAGGAGGAGGAGGTGAGGAGGAGGAGGAGGAGGAGGTGAAGGCGAAGGAGTAGGAGAAGGAGGAGGACGACGAACACTACACATTGGCTTGAGTTAGCACATCGCCGAGGAAAGAGGAACAGGAGGAGGAGGAGGAGGAGGAGGAGGAGGAGGAGGAGGAGTTGCGGATCATCGTGGTCAGAACCATCCCCACCCCCACTGGGACATGATAGGTTCAGCTTTCCCAGCGTCCCCCCTCCAGGTGTTGGAAGGGAGACGACACCCACTTCCACCCAGGGGGGGGGGGGGGGGGCGGCTGGCGGGGCCGAGGTTTCCCGGGGGGCGGGGGGATGGCATCTCACGCCCAGAGGAGAAGAGGAGTAGGATAAGGTCCGTAGTCATGTTGGCTCAAGGTTCACTCTGCCACACCCGTTTTTAATATTACCCGATACTGTATTCATACGCGTTGGTCCAGCGAAGCCAGCATGCTCTGGCGCGATGCTCTTCTAGCTCTTGCAGGTGTTACTCTCGCTGTGTCGGTGACCATTCGCGAGGAACGCGCAGTATGTGAAAGAAAGGTGAACGTCCAGATCTTTTTTGAGCCTGGGTGTAAATATTGCCGTCAGTACCTCGCTGGTCCAGTTAAGAAAGCAATCTCACACGAATCGACCCGGGGATGCATGAATATCGATTTCAACCCTCTTGGCAATGCTTTCTATCAAATCCCTGAATGCAAGAATGCTTCTACAAGCAATGTGACTGTACCATCATGTGGTGGTGCAGGAGGGTATGATGCAGGCATCCGTGCATGCTACAACAAAAAGTGCGGTCCCGGAGCCGCAGCTGCAGATCGTGTCGAGAATTGCTACAGAGGCCATTTGATTTTCCAGCACGGCTTCAAGGAAGCGCGTTTCACTCGATATTTCGCGTGCGCCAAGCATGCCGATTCCACGAAAAGTTGGGAGAGCTACGGGCAGTTCGTCCTCTGCATGGAAAGAAATTACACCACAACAGAAGACGAGACCATGGCGCTTATTCAAAGTTCAGCGCAGGGCGGAGACATGATCGAGGCACTTGTCCAAAAATGCGCAGAGCATTCCAGAATCAGCCTGGACGAGATCGACAATTGCTACAAGAGCAATGGGGGAGAGGAGGCATTCAAGCTGGAAGCGCGGAGCATCCCTGAGCACAGCGGAGTCCCGTGGATCATCATCGACGGGGTGGTCCAGCCGGAGACCTACGACGAGGACGCGCTGCTGCTGGCGGTGCAGAGGTCCATGGAGAGCGAGATGAGGCCTCCCGACGCTCCGAGGCTCGCTGCGATACAGTACCGTGAGTTTCTCGGAGTGCGGCAGGAGGAGCGCCGGCGCCAGATCACGTGCTGACGTCAAAGACAGCATGCTCGCGATCGTCACGTCGAGCTCGCAACCCGTGGGGGCCAGGGTGGAGAAGGGGGAGCCTTCGAAGCCCGCAGCAGAGGCAGAGGAGGAAGAGGGGGGAGGCAGAGAACGGTGTGCAGGAGGAGGAGGAGTATGGGGAGTAGCAGCAGCAGGAGGAGGGGTGCGAGACAATCGTGAGGCTGAACGAACTGGACCCACTTCTTGAGCAGCGTGTTTGCTGTTGGACCTGTTGCTGTTAGCTGAACTCTTGAGTTCCCCATTCCTTAAGGAAACAAGTACGGCAAGGGCTTGTATTCCAGAGTTTCCCTTTATGGGAAACGGCATCACGAAAGAAGGCGAAACTCTAGAGTCTAACTGGGAGGAAGGTCAGAACGAGGAAGAGGAGGAGGATGAGGAGTAGGACGACGACGAGGAGAATGAGTATGAAACGGAGAGGGAACGAGGATGTATAGGAGGAGAAAGAAGATGAGGAGGAGGAGGAGGAGGAGGAGGAGGAGGAGGAACAGCAGGAGAACACTGAGGATGAGAAGGTGCGGGAAGAGGAGGGTGAGGATGAGGAGAAGAGGAATGCGGAGATGGAATGGGATGATGATGTTGATGAGGAGGAAGAGGTGAAGAAGGAGGAAGAGTGGAAAGAGGAGGGACATAATGAGGAAGGGGAGGAGCATCAGGCAGGAGGAGAAGGTGGGGGAGCAGAACGAGAAGGAGGAGGAGGAGGAGGCGGATTACCCGAGTAGTTGCAATGGCGGGAACGTACCATGAGATAGCAGTTTCATCTTTTGCCGCCGAGCTGATTGCAGTTGACTCGTGCGCGGGATTTCTTGCACAGGCATGCGGCTTCAACACGTAGCCATAGGCATTCGGCTAGCCAGACCAGGCTTTAAGCTGTGCGGAAGGAAGGAGGAGATGGTCAAGGGGGGGGGCTACCGTGAGCAAAACAGACTCTTCGTTCTCACTTCTCTTTCGCACCCCGCCCGCGACCAGCCGCAGCGTTGGCGGCAGCGGCACCTTCCTGGACGTCTTCGACCTGGGTGCGCGTCCCCTGGGGGGGGCGCAGGCGGTGGCTCAGTCAGTCCAGCTGCCCGGGGCTTGCCTAGCCGCCGTGCCATTGGAATCCGAATATTGCGTAAACATGTCAGCCAGCGCGGTTCCCAAGCAGTGGATTTCTGGCAGTCTATATGGCGCAATCTGTGTAGAGCAATCGATGTGCTGCAATCTATGTGGGGCAGTCTATGTTGTGTACATGCACACATCAATCTATGTTATGCCATATATGTGATTCAATCGATGCGTAGGTCGTGCAATCTATGTGGTGCAATTGATCTGGTGTAATCTACGGCCGCGACTATGTGGTGCACTCCTATGTGGTGCAATTGATTTTCACCCATGAGTTGGCACATCCCATGATCTTGCAGACATCCCACCCACCCACCCGCAACTTGGTTTGTAAGACCTATGCGGTGGTGCTGGTGTATCTTGGCGTTGGCTGGTGCATACTTGGCGTTGGCTGGTGCATCTCTGCGGCCGCGCCAACCCTAGCACGCGCGCGCAGCGGCCAGCTAGTTTGGCGCGACCGACGCGGCCGCGGTGGCGCTGACCGCTGGGCGCATCCCAGCGGGTTTCAGTGCGAGTCGGCGACGTGGGCGGGCGCGATATCATGACAGAGCCGATTCCGGTAGACGCGATGATGATAGTGGCGATGACGGTGACGATGTTCGCACAGACGAAGGCGCTCCCAGCGCGGGCGCCGATGCTGATCACGCCGACGACGATGACGGGGTCCTCGCGTGGATGATGAAGGTTTTCGACAGAGTTCGACATGTGCGCGCGCGGCCGGCGCGCGAGAGTGGCCCGCATTGTTTTATTTGACACGAATCGTCGCCCCCCCCCCCCCGCACGCGCGCGAGGGCGTGCGAATGATGTCGGCATGCGGGGCCAGAGGCCCGTTTGGCAGGATTCCATGGAGATGTTAAAGCCGATGGTTTTTTGAAGTATTCGCAAGAGCGCGCGCGCAAACTTTTTTTGAAAATTACCTTACGAAGCCTGGCGTTTCCGAATGGTTTTTTGGACATTCGTTTTTTGAAATCGTCACGGGGCCGAAAGTTTTGGGAGGTTTTCGGCATGCGCGCGCGACGACGCGCGCGTGTGCACTTCGTCCCACTTTTTGCAAAAAGGATTCTCGCGACGGCACGCGCGCAAAGGCGTTCGAACGATTTCGACACGCGCGCGCGCGAAGCCCGTGCGGTAGTATTTTCTGAAAGTGTTGAAAATTCATGGCTTTCTTAAGCAGTCGCAAGAGCGCGCGCACGCGTGTTTTGAACATCCGTGTTGCGAAACTATGTTTTAACATGTTTTTGGACATTCAAGTTTGAAACCTTACTTTCCGACACCGAAGGTTTTTGACGGATTTCGGCATGCGCGCGCGTGCGCACTTCGTCTTATCTTATTGCAAGGGGCCCTTGAAAACTTATGATATTTGATAAACGAGTGCGCGCATAGTTTTTTGGGCAGAGGACGGCGGGGGGGGGTTGATACCGGCTGGGATGGTGTGAACTCATATATCGGATGGACGATGGGGCCAAACCACATTTAAATTGCAATGCGAAAAGGTGGGCCGATAAAACGGGGGGGGGATCCTAACATTTTTTGACACAAGAATTCACCAACGCTCAACGTGAGGTTGTCCATTCCACTGCTCGCGCAACCATCCCACCCACCCACCCGCAACTTGTTTTGCAAAACCCATGCGGAGGCGATTGCGATGAGTGCTTGGTGTTGGCTGGTGCATCTCTGCGGCCGCGCCGGCATGCGCGTGCACGCGCGTGCAGTGGCCGGCGACCGACGCGGCCGCGGTGGCGCTGACCGCTGGGCACATCACAGCGGGCTTCAGTGCGGGTCGGCGACGTGGGCGGGCGCGGCATCATGGCGACGTCGACAACGGTAGACGGGATGATGATAGTAGCGATGCAGGCGAGGATGCTGACATCGACGACACCACGGCCAGTGACGGCCCCCATGCTGATCACGCCGACGACAATGACGGGGTCCTCGCGTCGGTGATGAAGGTTTTGAAAGGAATTCGAAATGCGCGGGCGGCCGACGCGCGAGAGTGGCCCGCATGGCATTATTTGACACGGATCGCGCCCCCCCCAGCACGCGCGCAAGGGCGTTCGAATGATTTCGACATGCGGAGGCCCGCTTGGCAGAATTCCATGGACATGTTGAAAACCTGTGGTGTTCTAAAGGATTCGCAAAAGCGCGAGCGCATGTTTTTGTTTTTTGGGGGGAATTGTTGTTGCGAGGCCATTTGTCTTGATCTGGCTTCGGGACACTAGGTTTTAAAATCTCTACGAAACCTTGGGTTTCTGACGGATTTCGGCATGCGCGCGCGACGACGCGCGCGCGCACTTCGTCCCACGCTTTGCAAAACAAAAACAACTCTTGCGACAGCGCGCGCGCAACGGCGCCCGACCGATTTCAACGTGCGCACGCGAAGCTCGTTTGGTAGCGCTTTATTGCAATATTGAAAAACGCACGGTTTCCCCAATAATTCGCAAGAGCGCGAGCGCAAATTTGTTTTGAAAATCCGTGTTGCGAAGCCAAGTGTTGTTATGTGGTGTTTGGCCAGTCGATTTTGAAATCCGTACGAAACCTAGCAGTGTTGAAGGGTTTCTGCAATCGCCCGCGACGACGCGCGCGTGCGCACTGCGTGTCGTTTTTTGCACCTATAAAAATGGATCATTGAAAACTTATCATTTGTAATAAACGATTGCGCGCGCATGGTATCTTGTTGCAGAGGATGAGGGTGGGTCGATACCGGCTTAGCTGGGGTGCTGCGAATTCATATTTAAGATGGACAAGGGGGCAGAAACGAATGTAAATTGCAGTGCGCAAAGGGGGCGGGAAACACCAAGGGGGGGAGAGTTTAAGCCTCTCTTGGATGATATATGTGGTGCATTATGAGTGGAACAATCGATGTGGTGCACTTCGCGTTGTGCAATCTACGCTGTGCAATCTAGGCGGTGCGCTTCACCCTGCCGAACTTGAAGGTGTCAACCCCACTGTTCGCACAATCTTTCCACCCTCCCGCCTTCAATTTGATTTGCAAACCCTCGCGGCGGCGATTGCGATGACTGTTTGGCGCTGGCTGGCGCATCGCTGCGGCCGCGCTAGCGCGCGCAGGCTCGCTCGCAGAGCGGCCAACTAATCTGGCGCGACCGACGCGGCCGCGTTGGCGCTGACCGCTGGGCACTTCCTGGCGCGTGTCGCAAGCCGCGCTGACGGACGCTCGGGCAACCCAGTGCGAGTCGGTGATTCGGGCGGGCGCGGCATCATGGTGACGTCGGCAATGGCAGACGCGATGATGCTGATATCAGCGGTGCCGGTGACGAGGGTGACGGTGACGACGGCAAGGCCAATGACGGCGCCGATGCTGATCACGCCGATGACGATGATGGTGTCCACGCGACGGCGGCGCAGGACTTGGAAAGATTTCGACATGCGCGCGCGGTCGACGGGCGCGAGTAGCCCGCATGGTATTATTTGGCAGGGATCGTGCCCCCAACCCCCCCCCAAGCACACACGCAAGGGCGTTCGAATGCTTTCAAAATGCGCGTGCGAGAGCCCCGTTGAGTCGCATGTAATAAGCCTGTTGAAATACGTATGTCTTTCCTGTTGGGAATTCGCTTGGGCGCGCATATATATATATATATATATATATATGTTTATATATGGTTATATATATACGTGTGTGTTGCAACGTCATGTTGCAAAAACGCTTGCTGCTTCATCAGTGATCGGGAACGTCAATCTAGAAATCCTTGCTGAATCTATGTTTTTGAAAGATTCCGGCATGCGCGCACAATGAGGTTCGCGCGAGGAGTGTGCCTTTTTGTTGTTTCTGCTAATTGGTGATTTGTGATAAATGAATAAGCGCGCATAGTACGATTCGACACGGGTGAGGGGGGCGACACTGGTTTGGCTGG